AGGTAATCTCTTTAATGTAAAGTTAAGAGTTTCGCTTTGACCTCATATAATAATATGAAGTGTTAAAGTGTAATATTTATTTGAATAGTATTACTTAGATGAACTTACCAAGCTAATGAAAGAGTAAACTAAAAGCAACAATAAAGTAATTAAGGTCTAGTAAACTATGGAGTTCTATGGAGAAGAGCTACTATTTTTTATATTAGAGAAAGCATTTAAATCCTTACAACTCCTTTTCATGATTCCTCAAACTTGCCCATAGAATATTGGCAATCACAAGTCAACTTTCGAATTGTTCTGTTACATATGTGCTATATGAGTACGAAAAGCACTACTAGCACCTAGAAATGACTACTAACTCTATCAAAAGCTAGAGCAATGAAACTCTTAAGCTTTACCAAGTGTACATAAAGCCTTTCGAGGTGAAACAAAGAAACATAAAAAGGAAACATTGTCAAGTGAAGAAGGTTCAAATGGTGGTCATACCCAAATTAGCATGCTATTACGCTACCCTATAAGCAATGAGTGGAAACTTCACCAATTTTCTTACTTGGATTTTCTTAGAAGAAGAAGCTCCTAAAAAGAATCTTATCCGACTCGCCATAATGGATCTTAGGAGTGTAACAAATCTTATCATGGAGGAGAAAGGAAAAAAGATTTTATCAACATCAAGTAAAAAATGAGATAAGTACCCATACACTATTATTAGTATTACTATTATTATTAAAAATTATTAATAAAATGGGAAAAAATACATTGTGCGTAGGAGCATGTGCCTAAGATTCATGTGTACGTGGGATCTAAACGCATAAGATCCCTATGTGCAGGATCCACCTACATGGGATCCCTACACGTGTGACCCATTTGTGTGTGATCCCTATGCGTGAGATCCATGTGTAGGAACGGATATGAAAAAAAAAGCTATTTGCTTCTTTTTTTTTAAATATCTTAACATCTCAAGTTTTGCTACATCACTCTAAACTTACTTATGCATAATACACCTAATGATCTTGCAATGAAAAATATTTCATGGAAGGGGCAATGATAAGAGAACCAAAAAAATAAAAAATAAAAAACCCCTACTGCATAGGAAAGCAATACCACACATACGATAGTGCATTACTCTTAGCTACATTTTCTTCAATTTTTATTGTTTAGGAATTATATGTTGCAAGTGGCAAATCAAGCAAAGTAGTACAAGTAGAAATATAATTGCAGAACATGCTCGCATAGGTAAAATTACTTTAACTTTTATTTTGCTTTATTATTTTATTATTTTATCTCACTAGCGATGCATGAGAATTTCTTTCACTAAGATTTCTCAAGCAATAAGTAAATTGTAGATACTTGATTTTGACTACTAATTTATTATTTTTCTAAAAATTGTTTCATAGCAAGTATAATGTTATATAGAAAGTAATAAGAATGATTAAAGCAAGAAAAACAACTATATCACGTGAAAAGTATTGAAAGTAACTAAGAGTAAGTGACAGAATTTAAATGTTAGTTTTATCCTTGAAAAGTTTGGTTTAGTGACTCAGAAATGAAAAAAACATAATTGCAAAACATGCTTGCATAGATCAAATTACTTTAACTTTTATTTTTTTATTATTTTATTATTTTGTCTCACTAGCGATGCATGAGAATTTCTTTCACTAAGATTTCTCAAGCAATTAGTAAATTGTAGATACTTGATTTTAACTACTAACTTACTATTTTTCTAAAAATTGTTTCATAGCAAGTATAATGTTATATAGAAAGTAATAAGAATGATTAAAGCGGGTAAAACAACTATATCACGTGAAAAGCATTGAAAGTAACTCTGAGTGAGTGAAAAAATTTACATGTTAGTTTTACTTTGAAATATTTTACAAAGTTTGGTTTGGTGATTTAGAAATGGGAAAAGTTCTTTCTCTTAACTATTTTTTTTTTGAAGTACAAGTGCCTTTTCCTATCTTTTCTCTTTTCTTCAAAAACAAATAATACACTTGGGTGTCATAAAACCACTACCCTACTATACATTATGGGTAATGTATGGTGTTCCAATTACATGCATAATACTCTTAATAACAATTTTTATTATGTGCATATTACTCTCAAGTAACTATTCACACTATGCGCATGTTACTTTCAAGTTATTACATGTAACTCCCAAGTAACTACTCTTTCCTAATCTATATATAATTAGGGAGACACTAAAAATTCAATAAATTCCCTCTTTAGGATACTCTTCCTCAAACTTTCTCTAAACTCTTCCCAAAATACTTATTTTTTATTCAAGTATTTTTACTTTATTCTTTACACTTTCCGTACTTTTTCCCTAAATTTTATTGATCACTTTTTATCACAAGCACTAAACACTTCAAAAACTCCTCTATTAATTCTTGCTTTACGTTTGTCTCCAATAGATCTCATTTTATTTATTGCAACATTACCTATTTCCTTGCCAGAAGAATCCATCTACTACGTGAAAAGACGTTTCCAGGCAGTTTTTATAAATGCTTAAAAGCCAATGTGAAATTAATGTGGATAAGCTCAAGAAGTCGTTCTTTGTTAGAGTCCAAGTTCTTTGTATAAGACGCTATATGATAACAACGGAACAAAGTTATCTACTCTTAACGTGGCTAACTTTGTGTGAAATTTGGCAAGAAAATGAAAGCATCCTTCGGAATTTCTAAACACAAACATAAAAAATGAAAGGGAAGTGTTTTTTTTTTTCACGGATTCTTCATACTTTCACAACCTAAAATCATCATTTTTCTCCAAACTTTCTTTTCTTGGATAAATTTTATTTTAAAGATGAAATTTTTCTTTTGGCAAAGATATAGATAGTAATTGAGATATCATTATATAGGATTTGTGTCTATCACATTAGTTAGCATATCGTACTTTGATTTGTAAATTAATAGCTAATATAGTAAAAAGAATTATAATGAGTTTTCACTATTATAAAATTCTGCATAATTAGTTGTGATTATGAGTCACTAATTACGTAACTTGATTCCTTAGTCCTAGTCTTATTATCCAAAAATAACAATGCAAGTATAAAAAAGAAATATGACTATCTCTTATCATATAATCCAATGGATAAGATTGCGTTTCTTTGTGTTGCTTCCGATTTGAAAAAAAAAAGAAGAAAAAGAAAGAATATCTAAAAGCAATGCAAGCAAACCAATCGGATGAGTGGTTTTGGGTGTAGTACTCTACCATTCACGCCACAAGTGCCTCTTTTATAAAGACCAACGACTTGATATGAAAATAACGTAAATGGGTTGGACGCCGAATTCAATCAAGTGGGACGAGGGCCATTCCCAATAGAAACTTCTTTTGGAAAGTCACGGTGCTTTCTCCCAAGTGTCATACTCAGCACTTGCAATTTGCTCATGTTTACATCAAAAGACATTGGAATATCCTCAGGTTCACACGCCCAATTTACCTACTCTATCCTATTCCAACAGGAGTGAAGACGACTTATTGGGCAAGTACAAATCACGTTGGCACACATACTGGAAAATTTTCAGGTCCAAATAGTACTGTTTTCCTACGAAAACCCAAATAGAGCTAACAAATTCAATAACATAAAAAGTACACCATGGTTTAAGGTGAATCCTCTCAATATGGGCCGGCCCGGCCCAATCCGGCCCTAACTCTTGTGGGCTGAAAAATATGAGCCGGACCGTGTCAGCCCATATTTTATATGAACTACAAAATGTTCAACCCAGCTCACCCCTTCTTAGCCCATAGGCCGGGCCGGGCCGGACTAGCTCATTTTTTTCAAAAAAAATTATTTCCACTACTCATCAGTACAAGTATGCAACTATACTATGATTTAGTCCATAAATTAAATAATAAAAACATATTACAAACAAATAAATTACATCAAAAAATAATAAGCAAATACATTACATCAAATATAAATAAAATTTCAAATTTTCAATATTTAACCCACCCCTTGTTAGCCTATGGGTTGGGTTGGGCCAGCCCATTTTATTTTTTTCAAAAAAAAAAATTAATTTTATAATTATTTGATAAATATTTATTAATAAAATTATTCTATGATTTAATTCATAATTGAATAATAAAAACATTACAAATAAATAAATTACGCCAAATATAAAAAATAAATAAATTACATAATAAAGTTTAAATCTTTAACACAAACTACTATCTTATAAACATAAGTATATAACCAAATAATAAAAATTTTAAAACTCATTTTTATCCTCCTCAATCTTCATTCTCAAGTAAAACATTTAAATCTTATTTAGATAGCAATGATGTCTCCAAGTCTAAATTATTATCAATTTATCATTTAATATTCATTACCATAAAAGAAAAAAAGATAATAAGTTTTAATTTAATTTAAAATTTTTAATTTGACAAGTAAAGATTAAAATATTGAAATATATAAAATAAACAATACAATTGGTAACTAAATTATTGATTTTCATAATTAAATATATAAAATTATTAAATTAATTAAAATTATTTTTGACCCATGGACTGACCCTGCCCAGCCCACATCAGCCCACTGATTTAGTGGGCTGACCCATTTAAGCCCGCTTCAAATATGGATCAAAAATTTTTCACTCAACCCACCTCATATTTAATAAAAAATGAACCGACCCTATGAACTCAGCCCATTTTGACAAATCTAGTTTAAGGTGAATCCTCAAGCAAAA